GTCAGGGAATATATCCCTTTAGCGCCAAGGTATTTTAAAATGAGACCGCTGCAATTGCAAAGTCTGGAGAGGCGACTTAGAGAGTTCTGGGTATTTGCATTCACAGATCAGAAATGGCCTTCTTCCGTGTTGTCAGGACGGGACATCAAGTGCTCAGCCCTCGAGACGCGCAGTAAATGCCTACCAGTGCAAGAGGGTGACAGACCCTCTGTTAGGTGCCAGCTAGTATACAGGCGGCAGCCGCGCTCATGGCAGGCTATCGATCGGCCTAAAGGCGGCGAAGCATACTGACAGGCAATCAATCAATAATGTAAAATTCAAGCTACAGTTAGCCGTGAGTCATCAGCCAATCGTACCGGCGCCTACGTCAGGAGAGAAGCTGATTGGCTCGACGGACATCGTGTCACACGCGTTTGTTGTGCTAAATATGTTGTACCCAGTACACTCAAAGACTTCTGCTGTTGCGCTCTTCACACACACACTCACACAAGACGAACTTAGGCGGTGACACCTCAGCCTTGGCTATCGTTACAACTCCCTCATCTGACGGTAGGAAATAAATCAAGGTGGAGGGCTTGGAACTGCTTCGTCCCGGTTGATGTTGGTTTAAACCGTTGCAAAGTGGATACGCGCACACCTAAGGCCGCGTACCAATTTTACAAAATGTTAAACCCCAACACTACCGCCTCAACCTTCCAAGTGAACGGGTTGTCTAAGTGAATTGGACGCTTTCACTCTGGCGTCAGCCCAGAATTTCGACGGTGTGATCGAGTGTCAGGAAGAGTGCCGCTGCCCCTGTCCTCCCGCAACCGCTGACCACCGCCCCCGTTGGTGTGGTGTTTATCGAATGGGTTCAGTAACCCTCTGACTGAAAACAACTTTAAGGGTTTTACTCACTAGTGTGTATGTGTGCCAACCACTCTAGTGAACTTCAAATGTGTCGAAAGGGCGGGGTATTCGGGTGTAATCCGCGTTCTTGGTACAGAAACAGCGTGCGCACCAAAAGCACCCCCAGGATAGCTCGGGTGTTTATACGATCACCCCAGATGAGGAAGCTGGCAAGTACATGTGCCTACCTATTATGATTATTGCGCATATAGGGTGCACGTCTCATTACCCAGCTATTCATACAGTTATAGGAAAAACCAAGTTCCCAGGTTTAGCCTTCAGACGGCTAAATGCACTATCTTGCGACTTAAAGGCATGGTATAACTTGAGCTATTATCTAATAACGTTTCGTTAACCCATAAGTTCACTATTTGCCCCGATATACTAGGTGCCGGTTTCCTACGAGCACATTTAAGTGCTCGGTATATTAAAAACGATTACATACCCTGCTTCCGTGGTACTGGAGTGCCCTTTAGCGACTAGTCGTCGGACAGACAGCTGGAAGTTAACATACTGAAGTTAAACGAATGTGCTAAGAAGTTCGCCTTAGCCGGAAGAGGGAGTGTGGTAGACGCGACGCAAAGTCTACTATTACTCAAAACTAAAGTCAGGCATATTGTTCAAGTCTGCATTGACGAAAACAGCTTGTGTCCGATCCCCCTCGGCCTCCTTGACACTTGCTGTAGGTGGGTGACGGTAGATCGGGCGTGAAGTCTACTATCACGCACAGTGTTGTGGCCTGCACTGGAGAAAGCGGCTAACACCCGGTTCCCCATAAATCTCGGACTTCTTGACTCTGCCTTGACACCAGATCAGGCGGGTGACGATGGAGAGTGCGGTAGACGCTGCGCAACGTCTACATTCACTTAAAAGTAACCTTCCCTGTCGCAAGTCACCTTCCCTGCACCAACCTGCTCGGAGCATATGCTGGGCATAATCAAAGTTGATGGCGGAACTGCCGTGTGTGCCAACCTCAACGTCCTCGGCCGCTACACAAGCACACTGACTGGTAATCACAAGAAGGCCTGAGATTTGGCCGCCTGTGGCAGCCTTTGCAAACTTCCTTCGAGAAACAACGTCGAACACTGAAACAATGCCAACGAATTCCTAGTGTTAAATTACGGTGTAGAGTCTTACTGGAACCGCAAAAAGTCTGAAGTTAAAGAGGAAGTACACACGCGTCCACAGCAAAGCCTGC